GCACCTTCGGTTGTTTTTGCGAGTTTTGCTCGAAAAATAGTTCAAATAAGCTTAGATAGGTTAAAATCGATGCTGACTTATTTGAACTATGTAAAGCTACATGTCAAGAAATATCTCAGCATGTTAATTTATACAAAAAAAACCCTGAAGACCCTCTGGAACTCTCTGGAGAGCCATCTAGAGATCTCGAGAGTATGTCTGTTGAATTCTCCATCGATTTTATCCTATCTAAGCTTATTTGAACTAGTTTTCACAAAACTCGCAAAAACAACCGAAAGTGACCTGGCCGTTTTTGTATGGTGCTTAGTAAAAGCCATTTTTCTCAGCGAGAAAACAAAATTTAGAAAGAAGCTCGACATGGTTTTGAAGAGGAGAATCCGGCGAATCGAACGCGGTATCAAGCTCTCGTCTAGCACCTCTAAAAAAACCTGTGATAGGTTTGCAAAGTTTGTGTCACGTTTTTGACACCGTCGACTACCGACGTCCTTGCGGACGGGACGATGGTTTAGGTTTAAAATGGTTTTCAGGTCATTTTCTGATTTGGTTTACGATGCTGAATCAGGAAAAATCGTCTGAATGTTCCAACTTGTAACATAACTTGGAAAAATCAATTTAAAAAAGAACCCAAATTTTTCGATTTTTGATACCTGTCGAGTTTTTTCAATTTTTCGACCAAAAATACGTATCAAAAAAATTCAAAGCACATATATTCGTGATCGCCTCGAAGTCCTCTATCCAACGGTGTATGATATGTTCGAAAATAAAATTTCACTTTAAGTTTGCATTCCGTGCATCTTACATAATGTATCTTAAGAGACGTTCTATGAGAGCGTCAAAAAAGCACATCACACGGTCAAAGTTTATTTTTCAATTTAACTGTCTGTTCGATTCTTAATCAAAAGCAGTCAGATGTACTAGAACTGAAACCCATATCGGAGAGTACATAATTCTCTACAAAATGATCTATTTTGTGTCGAAAAATAACTAGAGAGCATTTGGAAATGAGCTGCATCAAGGAGCACTAGCAAAAATAACCGGAAACTTCTAACGCATTCAAGTTTTCGTCACCATAAGACTGTTTATACTCTAAATAAACAGTATATTTGTGATTAGTATTAAGGAGTAGGAAAACTGATTTTGGAACACTTTACGAAGAATGAAGTTTTTGCTCTTTGAATCCTCCTCAGCGTAAAAAGGGCTGGACGAAAATACAGACAAAGTTTCTACTCGAAACATTTCCTTCTCAAAGGTAAGTTTTGCTACTTACTTCTTAATGCTGATCACGAATATGCTGTTTATTTGGAATAAAAACAGCCTTATGATGACGAAAAGCTGAATTCGTTATAAAATGTTCGATTATTTTTGCTACTCCTCGTTGGTGCAGCTGATTTCTGAATACTCTCTAAGAGTTGTTTTTCGACATAAACCAGCTCATTTTGTAGAAAATCATGTGCTCTCCGAAATGGATTTTAGTTCTAGCCATCTGACTGCTTTTTATTCACTTTAAATAAAAAATTTGATTTTTAAAACTATATAGTTGATTCAGAACCAACACGGTTGAGACGCACAAAAATTAAAACAGCAAAATATGCCGTTAGTCAAGGAAAAACTTTACCGCGTCTTATGAAAAATTCAAAACGCATTTACAAAAATAAGTATTAATCGTATGATATGTTTTTTCAAGTATGTCCGGTGGGCTCATGAATAGTCTCTTAAGTGACTATGTCAGCTGGATAAATTAAAGAAAAGTTATGGCAGAACACTATCTGAGCTCGTGCGGTAAGGGGGAAAAAGCGGCTCCGGGACCTTTTCGGAGCCGTTAAAATGCTTTCTGATGCTTGGGATGCTAAGCATGCGATGCTCTGCTATGCTGAGGGATGCTTTTCGAGGCTAAGAAGGAAAAACATCGCCTTTTCCTCCGTGTCATGTGGTGTTGCATTTAGTTTACAAAGATATCAGATCATTTTACCCTGATCCTGATGGACCAATTAAGGCCGAAGTTTTTCCAGCTGGACAAATGAAATTGAGTCGACGCAGGATCTTCTGCTTTGGGCGTGTCGGATAATTGAAACAAACATTGTTAAATTGAATATCACCGTTTACTTGAGACTTAATACAAATATTTTCAGCATAGAGTAAAATTTTCCTTTACTAATAATAAAACAATTTGATTGTCTTACCAGCTTTATTCCTCCGATGTCATCATTAAGATCAATTACAGATTTCCCCTTAACTAAACGCGTAATGCGTCTTGTTGCTAATTTAGCTTTCGAATAATCCGGCATCATTGCTATACTTCTTCCAGTTGCTGTTGATGCAAAATGGATTACGATGAATACGCTACAATAAAAATTCACTACTTTTAAAGTTAAAACAGCTTTGAGAACAGATACACCTGCAATATTTACCGAAATACATTCGCAAACTCCATCTCACCATTTTCAACCAACTTTGAGCCATAAATAAAAACAGCTACATGAATAAAGTAGAGTAATGAATTGGCAATCGCTTTGCCAATGGGTCGAAACTGTATTTTCGATATATTTTTCCTACGTAAAAGATAATGAATTCATACAATGAAGCAGATGTTTACACTTTACAACAAGAGAGGATAGATGATGAGGTGTTTTAAGAGAGATCATAGATGTTCAGAAATGTATTACCATAACCAAGGTCAACAAACTCTAGCTGAGTAGAAAACTACAGCGCAAAAAAAATTATTTTTACCGTTTTGTGCACCTGGATAGACTGTAGAGGAGAATATAAGGGTTACCCAACGGTACTGATAACGGGCGACCCATAAAGAATGTCCCTCTCAGTATTTTGCTTATAACTTGGTTTGGATTTGTTTCCGAGACTCGATGTTTGTTCAAAAGATGTGCTGCGAAAGTCTCTACAAAATCATACCTAAACTATAATTTCAGAACTTCAATCAAGGCAACTAAGCCAATTAGATGAAAGTCGAAAAAATGTAAACTTCCTAAATTCAACATTTTGTTTGACTTGAACTTTTTCTTCTGCTACTATTTTCGCTAAAAAGTGTAGCAAAAGGGAGAACTTAGTTTATGTTTGGTACTTTCAAATGTGCTCTTTCTCGTGGTCTGAAAGAAGCTTTTCTAGAGCAGATGGTGTGGCGGAGAACGAAATTACAAAAATACATCAAAAGTTAACGACCTCCCCGTTTCCGACAATGTGCTCAATCAAGAAACGGAAAAGATGATTGAAGTTTGGTTTTGCAGTTCGATATAGAAGAGCAATTTCTGGTCAAAACAAAGCAAACCCGACCGAAAAAGCTTTTATTCGGATGAAGTTATGGGGCTTTTACTGATAGCGCTACTATACTCAAAATTTAGAAAATTAATGACTGATAACCGATAGAAAAACTATTATTTCGCTGTGGCTCTTGATGCGAAAAAATTTGAAGTGTAGTTGAAAGATAGAGCGAAGTCAGGGCTACAAAGTGGCTAATTTAGTTTTTCTTACTTTCAAAACGTTAATACACAATACCATTTTTGAGTTTAGGAAGTTTACATTTTTTCGACTTTCATCTAATTGGTTTGGTTGTCTTGATTGAAGTTTTGAAATTATAGTTTAGGTATGATTTTGTAGAGAATTTCGCAGCACATCTTTTAAACAAAACATCGAGTCTTAGAAACAAATCCAAACCGAGTTATAAGTAAAATAGTAAAATACTGAGAGAGACATTCTTTATGGGTCACTCATTAGAATATTCATGGTTTGTGATGAGGATGAGTAGTATTTGTGTTTAGAACTTCGTATACTACACGTTAAAAAAACTGAAACACTCATTGTCTTTAATAAAACAATGAAAGTACCTAAAATTTTTGTTGAAGGCTTGTTCATATTTTTGAATGAAAAACGTTTCTTGTTGTAGAGCAGCAATTGTTCGAATTTCTTGTACTGCATCATTTGCATACTGTATCATAGAACATAATGAAATTTTTAAGAACAGTTTGTGCGAGGAAATTAATATACCTTCCCGCCTTCGTTTGCGTAAACATTAGCTGCTTTTGATTGTCGTGAGTCTACTTTTCCTTGTAAAAGACCAGAAAATATCAATAATGGTGCAAAACAAAGCATAACAAATGACAATTTCCATCCAGCTTGAAATGAGACCACTAATGCAGTAAGTATAGCACCACATGCTTGCACAATCATACCTAGACGAAAAAGCTACTGGTTATTTGCTGTCATCGGTTAACCAATGTCAAATAAGATATAGTGCCTATTTCACCAGCCATATCCATTCCCACTTTAACATTCTAGGCACTTTGCACCACCTAGAGTTTCGGCCACATAGCGCACCATCTCTGAAAAGAAATTTCTCTACCAAAAAATCAACCGGCTCCTACTTGGTTGAGACAGCGTCCCTCAAACATATCACAGTGGGGACACTGTTGAACTGCGCTAAGAAGTGGCGAAATCAATTTCTGCGGTTTAAAAAGACAGCATCAAACTAAATGATGAAGCAGATGCGTAGAGAATTTACATACCTATGCGTATACCAGTTAATCCCTGCAGAAAAACGAAAATTTCTGTTTTAATATTCATCTGTTTTACAATAAATGGTGAAAAGAAATGATTATCTCGCTGATATTTAGACAGGAAAAGGATAGTGCACAATGACAGTTTTATTTTCTTTCAAGTATGAAAAGTACCACAGGCGTTGTAGTGTCTCAATATCTCTCAAGACTCCATGTTCTGAACTCCTCTCGGCATAAAAATTAAATAGCTGCTAAACAGTTCATGTATTTAAAAATGACTAAAAGCCGCTGTTATACTGTCATTTACTAAAACAAACAGTGAACAAATACTGATATCACTTCAATCTGGTTCGAATATGTATCTCGGTGATAGGTAGATACAATCGTGAGAGTTTGTGGCGTTATTTATTTACATTCCTGTTTGGTATATAGATGAAGAAAAACTTTGGAAATAGTTTACTTGCCAAAAGAAGGGTGAAATTTCAATTTTTTCAATGCAAAATCTGGTTCAATAGACTTGAGCCTTGTGGCTTCAATGCCCTTCGTAAGCAACGTTGACAACAATGAGAAAAAAGTCAAGAATTTACTTTGAAAGCTGATGCATCGGAGGATAATTGTGTAACAAGAAGACCAACGTTGTTCGATGGCATGTCAAACCAACTAATATTCTTTAGCAATAGAGCGCGAAATGACAGTGATCGAATTCGCATTGTTAACTTTTCTCCAGATATTGCAAACATAATAGTACTAATTAGTTGTAAAATACCTCCACAAATATAAATAGCAAGTATGACTAAAGCAAAATTACGTGTACCACTTGCTTGTTTTTCAAGATTCGGTTCGGCTAATAGACCATAAATTATCGAATAGACCCATGCAATTGAGGGTTCTACACCGCCAGAGAGTAACGATGCCAGGGTACCAAACAAAATAAAAGGCCATTCAGAAGAGTTTAATTTTAAAAATTTAAAAATATACGGTTTTCGAATTCGAAAAAACGGTCGTGTATTTTTAACTTTATTATCTTGATCTTCAATTTCGTTACTGTCTTCACCACTAACATTAAATTCAGTTTCAGAATCAGAATCAGTTTCAGATTTGACTGATCGGTTGGAAGACGGTGAGGGCCACTGGTTTCCTAACACAAAATAAATCTTCAGATAAAGAGTAAATGAAAATTCAATTTTTCAACAAAAAATTGATATGAATTAGGCAGTGTCTAACTTATCTAGTGAGGTTTGTTGATGGAATGTATGTTTAGAATACGCAAGTACCAGTTATAACAGGCTGCAATTTGGAAAAAAAGGTTTTCTTAACGAAAATTCATATTTTTAAATTTTTCTGACAACTGCATTTTGTAGTGCAAACAGTTTTCTACAAGGCGAGCTATGAGGGTTTTCATCTTGATCTAGCACTTATAGAAAACATATTCCTTAAAAGGCTGCTAAATGGTTTATGACTCTTCGTCGAAAAGCGACTGCAGCAGAAACAGAAAGTAGTCATGAGAGGCAGCCTTTGGCTCGTTGTCGGCCAAATATGATTTATGAATCGATGATTTCGTACATTACGTGAATATAATGAGTTGCCTTAAGAAATTAGGCTGGTTCAGTCTGTTGGGAAGTTCAGATCTTGTCTGCTGTCCAAACCCCTCTGTCTGAGAATACCGTGAATACTAAATATTGATATAACTTGTTGTCGTCTTACAGTTGGCTTTTCTCAGTTGAGAAAAGATCTGTACGACAAGGACAGAGTCGACAATCCGTTCTAATCTTGTCACAATACCACGCATGAGACATTAAATCATTCCTTTTTTGATTGCGTTCTTTATAAGAACGAAATAAGTCTAGTTGTTTCTAATTTAAATGATAAAGTTCCTAGTCTAAAATCGATACTAAAACATTGTTGTTACAACGTCAATTGACACCTTATGAGATAGCAATAATTGTAAAAGAGGC